TGTAATATCAACATATAGTGAATTTTTATAACTGGATCAGACCTCGTGGTTTTTTCCTTTTACGTGTTTTCCACTTAAAAACATTTAGTGTCATCACTGGTTGTTTTTCTTTCATCTGAATGTGTGTTGAATCCTCGTGCAATGCCAAGACGATGATCTATTACTCTATTGCCGTGAATTTTTCAGCACGCATCAATATATTTAATAAGTAGAGCACTATTCAAATTTTGTTTATTGAACCGACATTTATCATCATTTGTTTATGTATTAAGATTTGTCCCACGATTTCTTATTTAGAGTTTAGAGTCAAACATTAATTATGCAAAAAAAAAGAAAACCACATCCAAAAACTCTCGTAAGATCAAAACATGAAGTTTAAGTTCGAGAATAAATAAATAAATAAATAAATAACCTAATGAAACGATATTAAATGTCAGCACATAAGTTTAAAGAAAAAAATAATAGTATAATTGAAAGAAAAAAAAAAAAAAAACAATGGAGAGAAGTGCTCCAAGACTCCAGCACTATAAATTAGAGCGATATACATGCATACCACTCAATTCTTATGTATTTATTTATCCAACACATAAACTTAATTTGTTACATACATATCATCTTATATATGTATGAAAATGCGTATTTCACTTTGTGAATGTCAAAATGGTGATATTTTTTATGTGATATGCAAAATTCAGGTGGTGTAATTGTAAACAGCAAAGTTTAGGCATTAGATATATAAATACATAGGAATTGGGTGGTATGCATGTAAAGGCCCTATAAAAGAAACTTTACATGGCTACAACAAAATTCTTATATATTTATACATCTAACATCTAAATTTTAATTTTTATTTTTATACTAATTGACCTTATGTTTCACATGTTAAAGTTAATAAAGGTGATATTTTTCATGTGATAAGATAGACATGTAAATACAGAATATAAAATCTCAAAATAAAAGACAATAGTCATATTGTTATTGAGAATCCAATTCTTCATTTCCAACCAATTTATTCACATCTTAAAACATTAAACAAGTTGATTTTACATTACCTTCAGATGCCCAACTGTTCATCAATCACAATAGTCTAAGTTTCTTTAATACAGAATTTACACTGAAACAGGCACAAGTATGTTACACTAACACCGATTTTTGGATTACAAATATCACACAGACACACACATTAGATGTATATATTTGCACAAAACATCTTTAATGTCTGAAGCATACCTTCTTCATTGCTAGTGAATGCTGGGACACCAGACAGTGGAGAAATGGGAGTCTCAAATCCCTGCAGGTCCTCCATCTTTTCTAGGATCACTGACAGCAGTGAGCTTACCATAAAAGATCCCATCTTTTCTTTCTTCGACAACCGGAACTGGATTTTGAAGGTTATGGACGACAAATTGGGCGACCGAGCCCCCGGAGATGTTGCGGAGTTGGTGACCTCTTTGCTTCAAGAATGTCTGCGCTTCGAGGGAGACTTGTATCTGTTCATCATCAATGGCCGTCCAGTTCTCATACAGCACAACGTTTGGGATGAGCTGTATGTTTAGATGAATTTAGCGGCCCATTTATGCTTAAGAAAAATATTTAAAGGAAGATTTACGAAGATTCCACTCAGTTCCTATATATTTATATATCTGACACCTAAACTTCAATTTTTACATATTAGAAAGGTGTATTTCACTTTTATAAGTTTAAAAAATGATATTTTTGATGTGATATGAAAGATTTGGTTTGCTGAAGTGTACAAAGCAAAATATAGGTGTTGGATAAGTATATACATAAGTATTGGGTGCTATGTAGGTATACAATGTTATGCAAAAATAATAACGCAACGGAGAAATTCATGCAATAACAATCAAACACAAAATATTTACATGTTTCGGCGTTAAGTTGATTTGTCTTCGTCCGCGGGGAGAGAGATTCCACGAGCACCGAGTGGTGAGAAAGAAAAAATGGCTTGGGTTTACAACTCCACTTCTCGCCGTCACTATCATGAACCTTAAATCCCTTTTATAGAGGATTAGACGTACAATTAAATAAAACCAAAAGACTAAATTACCAGATAAAAAGAAAAAAAAAAGAAAAAAAAAACAATATTCTAAGCCTCAACTCTTACTTCTAGATAAGAGATGACCAAATGAGCTTCAAACTCCGAATCGGCTGCACCAAGATGGTTGTCTGCATATACCCACACTCCCAAAGGGCTCAAGCCTCGCGTAGTTCTTCAAAATGCCCGAGTGAGCAATCGGTCCTGGTCTCAGATGTTCACCAAACATTTGCAGTATGTGAACTTTTTGACTGGTAGTACTTCGTGAGCATGTCAGTTGGATTCTTCTTTGTATCTATTTAATTTTACAGAATATTGTCGTCATCAATTAAATCCTAAATAAAGCAGTACCTTACATTATTGTCTTAGATGTGAGCACGATGAATTGAATTTATGACAAAAAATATTATACTCTGAATGTCACAAAACGTTGACATAGACTCTTGAACAACTCTCAGGGCATTCAATAAGCCTTACATCAATATCGATTCCTTCATCATCTCCGTAATCGTTATGTACTACGCCTCCGTAGTGGACAAAGCAATATTAAGTTGAAAAAACAACCTCCAATTGACTAGTCCTCCTGCAAATGTGAATAAATAATCAATCATAGATATTCGTCTATGTATAACACTTGTCGGTGTAGTCTACACACAAATCTGTAATAGGTGATTGTCTATCAAATATTGAACCAACATCAATTGTACACTTCAGATACCTCAAAATACTCTTCACAATCAGTAAGTGTTTCCTTTCTTGATCATGCATGAACCTGCTCACAACACCAACTTCTTGTATAATGCCTGATTTAGTACAAACCATGACATGCATCAAACTGCCCATTTCATTAACATAAATAACTGATCGTATATCTTTTTTTTTTTATCATCTTTAGAACACTGATCCAAATTTAACTAAAAGTGAGATGTAATTGGTAGACTAACCGCCTTACTCGAGTCATCAACTCCAAATTTATTCAATACCTTTTGAACATAAGCTCCTTCTGAAAGTCAAACATTTCCAGCTGTCATGTCCCTGAGAATCTCCATGCCAAGAATTCTACGAGCTTCACCGAACTCCTTCATTTGAAATGTTTGGACAGTTGATTCTTCATCTTATCAAACTCAATCTGATTAGCAAATATAATCAACATATCATCTACATATAGAAGCAAGTAAACAAACTTGTTGTTTGCCAACTTCTTAAAGTATGCACAATGATCATATCGGCTCCTCGTATACTCCTATCTCCTCATGAACTAATCAATTTTTTAATGCCACTATCGCGGTGAGTGCTTCAACTCATATAAATACTTGTTTAGGTTGCAAACCAAGACTTTTGATGCTCCGTGTAAAAATGCAGTCTTCACATCGAGTTATTCAAAGATCAGACCGTACTATGCTATAAGAGTTATGAGAACACGGATTAAGGGATTCTTGACAACTATGGAGAAACTTGTCAAAGTCAATCCCTTTTCGTTGTGCAAAATCTTTTACCACTAATTTTGTCTTGCACTACATATCATCTCCATTAGACCTATCCTTATTTGCATACACTCATTTGTACCTCACGGCTTTCCTTCCAGGAGGAAGCTTCACCCGACATCCAAGTAATATTCTTCCGAAAGACTCCATCTCTTCATCTATTGTCGCTATCCAAAGATAATAGTATGGATTTTCCACCATTTCTTTGTAGTGACAATAAATTTCTGTCTCAACGACTGAAACTGCAAATGCAATGTGATTCCTCAACCAAACTGATTTTGAGACATTCTGGTGTTTGTTCCTGCTTCTGGTAATAGATTCTTGAGCAGAAATCTCATCCTCAATATCCTATTTCATCTTCTCCTAAACACTATCAATAAATACCTCTTGAGCTGCAACTAAATCAGGTATCTGAGTCGGAGTGGACGAACTTTGTGAAATAATCGAAGTTTCATCAAACTCCAACTACTGTTGCATATTTGTGATCCCAATAGAACTCTCCACCTGCTTTGAGTCCTGATATTTCAACAAGCTTACCTTGTTAAATGTAATATCCCTGCTAATGACAACATTCCTTTCCAACTGATCATGCAGCTTCAAGCCCCTGAATCCACGCCTGAAGTCAATGAAAATTATCTTCTTTGCCCGTGATTCTAGTTTATCATTATGCACATTGCAGTACGTTGGACACCCAAACACTCTTATGTGCTCATAATCTCTAGCAAGATGTCCTGACCACATCTCCTTTGGGGTTTTCTTCCTAATAGCTATAAAAGATAAATGACTCACCAAGTGACAAACATAGTCTATGGCTTCTGCCCAATAAACTCTATCCAACCAATCATTGGATAACATACACCGAACTTTCTCCACCAAAATTTGGTTCACCCCCTCCGCCACCCCATCCTGTTGTGGTGTCTCTCAAATAGTGAAATGGCGTTCTAACCCAACTCTCTAACACTCTTACAAGAACACATTCAAAGTGTATTCGCCCCCATTTTCTGATCCGATACACAGATATTGTTTACCAGTCTGAGTCTCAATCTATTTTTTCTAAGTTATGAAAATCTCTTGCACCTCGCTTTTGTGCTTCATGGTGTACACCCAAACATTCCTAGAGTAATCATCAATAAAGTTGATTGAGAATATAATATTTATGTTATGACAACATTCATTTCTGACTAATTAAAAAGCTTCAATCCCTTGACTCCACATTTGAAGCCAATGAAAATTGTCTTCTTTGCTTCTTGTTCCAGTTTACCATTCTACACATTGTAGTAAGTTGGTCGCCCAAACATTCACATGTGCTCATAATCTCTAGCAGGATGTCTTGACCACATCTCCTTTGGGGTCTTCTTCCCAATAGTTGTAGAAGGCAAACATTTCACCAAATAACAGGCATAGTCTATGGCCTATGCCCAATAGACTCAATCCAAGCTAACATTAGATAACATACAACGAACTTTCTCTGCCAAAGTATGATTCATTCTCTTATGCTACCCCGTTTTGTTGTGGTATCTTTCGAATAATGAAGTGGTGCTCTATCTCAGCACACTGACATTCTTTCAAGAATGCATTCAAAGTTTATTTGCCCCCTTGTCTGATCTGATACATTGGATTTTTTTTATTAATCTGAGTCCGAATTTAGTTTTTTCCAAGTTATAAAAATCTCTAGCACCTCATTTTGTGTTTCATGGTGTATACCCAAACATACCAAGAGTAATTATTAATAAAAGAATAAAGTATTTCCGCCCTCTGAATGATATTGTCTTTGTCGGATCCCAAACAACTGTTTAAACATACTATACAATACATTTTGTAATATGGATGGCGATACCAAAAGATACCCTTGCGTTCTTTTCAAATACACAATGTTCACAAAAATCAAGCTTGCAAGTGCTAACTCATTTTATCAATCCTTGTTTTAACAAAGCCTGAAATAAAATCTCCCCAGCATGAGCTAGCCGCATATGCTACAATGTAAGTACGTCAGAAGAATCATCAACAATAGCAGTCGTTCCAGTCACTGTACTACCCATAAGATAATAAATGTTCTGATGACAAACTCCATTCATAAAAACCAGTGCTTCACGACATGTTTTCAGAACGCTTACCTCAATAACTACCTTGTAGCCCTTGGACTCTAAAGCCCCAACTAACAACAAATTCTTCCTAATTTGTGAAACCTGTTTAACATTGGTCAACTCCTTCTAAGTACCATATATATTCTGATAAAAATACTTCCTACACCAATAGTACGACAAGCTTGATAGTTATCTATAATCACAGTATTGTGATCTAGCTCCTTGTACGTATATGACCATCATCAATAAGAATAAATGTGATAGGTAGCACCTGTGTCCAGAATCCAACATGAATCATTCATAAACAAACAGTGAGAAACTACAAATAATGATATATCTGAATCCGTCTCTTCATATCTTTCTACATTGATATTGGCTTTCACCTCAAATGCGTTCTCTTCTCCTTCGGCTTCGGATAATCCTTCTTCTAATGACCAATCTTTAAACAGACAATACATTGATATTTCTCAAGACCGTGCCCAAAAACTTGCCCAGTTATTGAGAAGTATTGTCGCTGCACCTTTCTTTGTTGATTTTCTCTTCTTCTTAGATTTGTCACGTAGAAATGTAAGTGCCTCAGCCGACTCGATCTTTGCATACTCCCTGTCCTTTCTACGAAACTCCTGGATTAACATTGTAGTAGTCAATTCTCCATAATTCAAAAACTCGTTCATATGAATGATTATCACGGTAAAGTTTTTGTACTCATGTGGGAATGAACTCAACAGAAGAAACTTCTTGTCTTAATTTTCAATCTCCGCATCCAAATCTAACAGATCTGCTAATAACTTTGTGAAGTCATTCAAGTGCTCATCAATGGTAACCCTTTATCTCATTTGAAATCTATAGAGTTAGCGCTTCATATGGAGACTATTCTCCATACCCTTTGTGAGATATTTGTTCTCCAGTAACATCAACATTTTTTTTTGCAAAAGTCTCTATCATCATCCATATTTGATCTCCTGAGCCAAGAAATTTCTGATCAAGCCATAAGCACTCCGGTTTATTTTTAACTAATTTCTTTCTGACATCTCATCAGGACGCTCCTCACGATCTAGATCTTCCTCCATACTCAAAAAATACAG